CCTCCAGAGCCCAGCTACCCCCACTAGCAATGCAGGCGAGTAGTGTGGCACAGGGTATATGAGGCAGTGACTGCCGTTGCTGGTTTCCCTTCTCCTCCCTGTCCTCTTCCAGCACATCAGCAGGCACTGGGGGTGGGTCAGGAGAACACGGGCAGGGACGCAGTTTGCATTCTGCTAACCCTGCCCCTGTGTCAGTGGCTGTGTTTGTGAAGTGCTCAGCACCACCACAGACATGGGGGCGAGGTCAACAGAACGCAGGCCGTGTCCCTGCCTGTGTTCTCTTGATCCCGCCCCCAGAGCGGCAACTTAAAAAATAAATAAATAAATAAATAAAATCGTAAACATTTTCCTCAGCACACTTCCAGGCATGCCAAAGGAGAATGTCTCCGCATACCACTAATTGGCACGCGTGCCAGGGGTTGCCTATCCCTGGTATATCCTGTTCTTAGATTTATTAAAGAGATGTGAGGTCTTATTCAACTCTACTTAGTGCCTATGGTGTCTCAGCTGGAATATTGTAATAACGTTTTAGGCACACACATTTTAAAAAAAGGTAGATAAACTAGAAAGATTAGAAAGTAGTAAGAATAAGACTGTGAATTTTGCAAACTCAGAACAATGCTCTCATCATTGGGCTCAAGTAGTGAGTCTCAACCAGGGTGCCACGAGATCTATTTAAAGGTGTCACACAATATTAGCACAGTTAGATGTATAAAACACCTACCTACACTTGGGTTCACAAGACAAACTCATAGATATGAAATAGACACTCACAGCGTCACAAATATTCTGACCTGTTCTGGTCTTTGAGTTCTTGCAACAGAAGAATTGCTCTAGTATTTTTCCAGTCAAAATATAAGTAAAAGCTAAGAGATGGTATTTTCTAAGGGGTGCCTTTCATCTAAAAAGGTTGAGAACCACTAGACTAGAGTCATGCTCACTCTTTTCTTGCTTTCTAGCCCAACGTTCTTGTATTCTTGGCTAGAGTGGAACAGCTTTAATTGGATGGGGAGGGAGGGGTGAGAGGGCATCACTCCACCTATATTTAACCCTGGAGTTAGGTCAGGGGTGGGCAAAATATGGCCTGGGGGCCGGATCCGACCTGCCAGGCCATTCTATCCGGCCTGCAGGGCCCCTGCAACCAGAAGCCCCTGTCTAGCAAAGGCTTCTGGCCTGGGACCATGGGGCTGCTCCTGGGTCCTTGTGCCAGAGAGGGAAATGCAGCCCTCGACAGCTTGCCAAAACTCAGTAAGCGGCCCTCTGCTCAAAATAATTGCCCACCCCTGGGTTAGGTTAATCTTCTGTGGGATAGGATTAAACTCCACTGAAAACTAGACTGAAGATAGTTCAGATATTCCACGTGAATATTCCTAGAACAAGTGCTCTAACGATTAAGCTACTGCATAAGAACCACCACAACAACTTCCTGTTCCTATCATGTTTTTAGCAACAGCAGCTGTTGCCATTTTACTTCATGTTGAACTCAATTCTGTTGATGTTAGGTGTGCTTGGAGTACACATCCTGGAATAGGTACCCCAGGGGATTTAGCCACTGCTTTGGTGAGAGACATGTCAAGGTGTTCTGCTCAGCCAAAACTGTAATTAGATCTGAATTTAGATTGCATCATATGGATTTAAAAAAAGTGTCTATCCTCAAAAGGTAAACTGAAGACATTTTCAGATTTAGCTATTTCAATTCCAAATGCAAGTACAGCTTTCAAGTTACTTCTAACATCGGCATGATCTGATGTGTATGCTGGGTCACTAAGTACACCAGGAAGGTAGAGGGAACAATCACAAACACCTGATGCATCTTAGAACACACTGCAAAAATGGATGCAGAGAGATATGATTTTCTAAGAGAAATTCAATCAATCAAGTTTGTGGGTTCATTATACTTCGTTACCATTGTAACAAACTCCTTAGTTTTCAGGATGAGGGTTTCCTGTTGCTTGAGGCATCACAAAAAAGTAAAAGCAAGTACTCAAGCAATAAAAAAAAAAATATCCTGACTTATTTTGGATAATATTTAGATTAGTACTTTAATTAAACTTGAAATCAATATGCAGAATTAGCCAAACTCCAAACTATACACAAGGTGTGCAAGTTTCTGATCTCCATCAGAGTACCCACACTGGTAGCAATACATTGGGATATTAAAATGTTCCAAAACTAAAAGTCGGCAT